CACCAGGGCCATTTTAGGGCATTTTGAAGTGGTGGCCTAGAAAACAGTATTTGCAAAAGTTAGGCCACGACTGCAAGATGAATTTGTCTCGAAAAAGGCATTTCTCGATAAATTTTTTTTTCGAAAAGACACACGGGTTAGAGGGCCCTTCTAATACAGGTTTTACGGTGTCTAATTATGAGATTTGAGGCATTTTTTTTTTTAATTGAGGTCTTTGTTCACTGAAAAAGGCGTAGTCTTCAAGTATGGAGTGTAAGTTAAGCGTACTTCAGTGTAAAGAAAACTCCAAATTCGAAAAATGGGACAAATTGGAAGTTTAGAATATATCTGACTAATTTAAAGCCAAATCGGTTCGCTAGCAACCGAGTTATCGCTATAATAGACGCCCAACCAACCGTTTGACTTTGAGCTCAATTATCTCGGTTCCTTTAAAAGATATCAAAAAGTTGTCAACTGATAAATTGTTTATCATGATATCAGCAACATTTTATCAGTTGAGAGACTCTCGATATCTGTCAAAAGAACCGAGATATTTGAGCTCAAAGTTGACTGTTTGGGTGCGCTTCTATTAGGGGATCAACATTATTTGAAACACTCGATTTTTTATTAAGAGATCTGTAGAGAGCAGGGAAAAATCTAGGAATGTTAGGCTTTCGAATTAGGAACCGTCGTTAAAAATGGTATATTGGTGTCTGTCTGTAACACGGTGTGTCCCGATGTTCTATAGTTGGAGCGAATCCAGTGATACAAAGCTTCAAAGCAACCCGACCTACAGACATCTGGGAAAATGAAACCATCCAAAGGATCTCCTCAACATTGGACTGGCTGACCAAGGATCCGAATGCTAATGCCACTTGGACATCGCCGAAACCCAATGCAACATCTTCAAAAGTCACAACCTCCTACATCGTCGGAACGAATGGTTGCTCTCTTCTCTCCACAAGAAATGGAACCTCATCTGGTCCTAAATCTGATTTAGGATGATTTAGGCTATCGGAACTACGCCAAACCCAACTGCGAACGCCCAGAAGATCCTAAATCAGAACTTTAATCCCAGTAATAAACAGTTGTTGAATACAGTATTAACAGTCGGTTTACGGCTCCTTCGGGGCTGAACCTCTTGGCCTCCGGTCGCCCTCCACCATCGCCCTTTCTGCTCACCATTCTTTAGTGCGGTGAAACCAAGAAACGTCTCCAGAAGACTCCAAAACCAAAAGTTCGGGCATCAACTAAGACACAATTCTGATCTATCTGACCATGTTTCAGCTCAATCGGTTAATTTTGAATGGGGGAAAAGGCACGCTACATACATACGCACATACAGAATTTGGTGAATGTTATTAGTAATGATAATGATATGTACTAGAAAGGTCGGTAATTCTATTTTTTCGTGGGTTCTCTAGGGGTCTTTCAATCTGAAGGGCCCTTTTAATACAGGTTTTACGGTATGCTCCCGTTCTGCCCCTAGACTCGTCTAGAAACTTTCCGTCACCTGAATCATAATCTAGAAACTTTGCATATATTTTTCCTCCACCACCAAACAGGCGCCATCATTTGCAAGAGACTTAATCCGAAACCATATGGTTAACCAAAATTTCATCATACTCCCGTCTTGCAACAATAGGTCATCATCCAGGTCATTTCTGAGTCAACCTCTTTGCACCTACGCATAAACCACAAAAATACACATCATGGAGATGTCTTCCGGAGTTCCTTTTTTTATGATGTCAACAAAAAGTGTGTCAACCCATTTTTTTCGTTGCTTTTCTTTTCCGGACAGCGAGTGGGTGGTCATGAATGGTTTCGTAGTGTTTTTCCATGACAGTCCGGGTTGATGACGTACTTTCACACCTCTGCTAGCACATGGAGAGAGAGTGAGAGAGAAATGGGAGGAATGTATGTTTGCACACATGGAGACGAAATTCCAAACTTTATCGTTTTTTTTCGCCTTGGCGGTAGGTACCACGCCTATTATGATTCGAAGCAAAACGATCGGTATATAGGTGATCGCTTTTTTAGTAAGCAAAACTTCACTCTTGACATCTTTGCTGATCTTGAGGTTGCTTTAATCTTCTAGAGACTTTCAGTAAAAGGTAAAGTTCCTAATAGCTAGCTTATAGCTTAAAGCTAGCCGCCTAGCTTCAGGCTAACCTATCCAGCTACAGAGCTTGATCTTGACATCCCTCACTCGTTCAGTGTGAGCTACGGATTTCTTAAAAGCTAGCTATGCTTATCTAGGTCCATCAGTTTCTACCTACAGTACCCTACCAGCTATACAAAAGCGCGTTTTTCTGTTGATTTTCGGTCATTTTCAAGAGTCTAGAGCTCATCTGTCAAGTTTCTGAACACTTTGAAAACTTTGGAGGGTGTAAAACAGACCTAGATTGAAAACTTTGCATCCACACACTTTCTTGAAAATTCCTAGTTTCTCAGCTATTTGATACTGAGCTTATCTGCCAGCCCTTGACCATAGGCCCACCCTACCTAACTAGGCCTAACCCTAATCGCCTAGTATAGTTTGATAAGCTAGCGCAGCGCGTCTGGTGTTATACACACACAGTATTATCGATGAACTTTGAAAGTGTGAAACGCGGAGGATTATGGAAAAAAATGGGTTTTGTGGTTTTGACTTGACAGTTTTAGTTATAGAGTGTTTGACTGAAACCCGCGCGATTCCTGTTTACCGTTTTTTAACAGGGTATAGCTCAAATATCTCAGTTCCTACGAGAGACATCAAAAATTTTTAACTGATAAATTATTCATCATAATGTAACCTATTTTTTATCAGTTGACAGATTTTTGACATCTTTCAAAGAAACCGAGATAATTGAGCTCAAAGTGAGCGTATAGGGTGGGCTTGTATTAGAGGGTTTACGGTATTCAACATTATTTGAAACATTAGATTTTTTGATAAGAAATCTGTAGAGAGCTGGAAATAATCAAGGATATTTGATACATTACAATCTTAAAGACCATGCCGACTTTATGTTTATATTGTTGCCATTTTTAACGAGAGGCTCGTACAAACAAAATTTTATCGTCTTCCCTTTCTTCCGCACCTCTTGTACTATATAAAGAATGACTAAACCCCCAACGGAGACTTGAAATTAGGATTAGGCGAAACTTTTTGAACTCGTTTCCGACCACATTCGGTCACAATTGGACACAAATTCGACACATCTGACGAAAGGTAGGAGGAAATGGTTGTAATCCTAGGGGATAAGACTAGTTGTGATGACTATTATGAGTATTACAGTATTGCTCAATTATCTCGGTTCCTTCAGAAGATATCAATAATCTGTCAACTGATAAATTATTCATCATTTTATCACGGATGTTTTATTAGTTGACAAAATTTTAATATCTCTCATAGGAGCCGAGAAAATTGAGCTCAAAATTTATAATCTGGGTGAGCTTCTGTTGGTTAATTGAGCTCAAAGTGAACATATAGGAACAAGATAAGGGTAGTTAGAAGCTGGATATAAAAGCTAGCTTCCAAATAATCGTAGCATTCGACTTTGTCTTCTCCATAGGTACAAATGGTGGTCAGACTGATTAATGGTATTATAGCCACCCTAAAAATCACCTCACCATTGTAGCCTGATAGTTCTTTTACCCTTCTACTCGAACCTTTTCTAGAAGCAAACATTTCTGCCTCCGACGACTTTGACCACAGCTCCGAATTTCTAGCTAAGCGCTTTAGTACTACCTTGTCTTCATCAGCTGACAGTTAAGCTATCACTTACCCTCTCTGCTATTTTCTCTCTCTCTCTCTCTCTCCCGACTAAAACCAAACGGAGATCATTGACATGTTTGTTTCATGGTCTATGCTTTGGAGTTTATAACCAAACTCATTTTTCTGGACTTATTCTGATTCGTGGCAAAAGATTTTCTGTTTTGTTGTGATGGGGTAGTTGGCCAAGTGCAAAGTTGACGAATTGACTTCCACTTGAACTAAATTTCACTTAATTAAGAAAGAAGGCACGAATCAGAAAATTGGGGATTAAAGGAGGGCCTTTACCGGACCTTCGCAAATCCTGCCATAGTTTCTTTTAGAATCAATATTTTTAGACCTACTAAATTTCATAGGGTAGAACTCCACGAGTACTACAAAATGATATTAATTGAAAAACTATAACTCGTCTGTGAGCTAAGTTACAAGCCATAAAGTGACCGAGCTTTTAGCTTCGTCTCCTCCCACCCTAGATGGACCATATTGAGGTCACTCTGCTTATTGACGCAGAACTTACAGACTGATAATTGAATTGTTGATAACCCTCTGAAAAGCTATAATTTGACACGTTTTTTCCAGCCCCTCACGACTATGTATTTTCTGATCACTGTAAAAGTGTCTTAATGATTTTCGAAAAATTCCTCTTCACCAAAAAATCTTGCTCTGTGTGCAACCGGAAACCACAAAAGTTGTTAGAATTCGTCACACACATTTTCACACATTTTTCGCTTCTTTAGGAATTTCGCAAGACGAAAAAAAAGAAGATAAAATCTTCACTTTTGCCCCTTATCAGTGTGCCTTTTACCTCAAATTGTTCTTGTTTCTTCCCTCCAGTTCTCTTCAGTTTTCTAGTTCTGGCTCACATGACTTCTATAGAAGCGATTCATTCAAAAAAATGTTTTGGCTTTTCGAAATTTTAAGAAATTTTAAATTATTTCCTGGACAAAAATCTAGAACCTAATTGTCATTCACATCTTTCTCACCAAGAGCTTAAGTTTTCAGAGAAAATGATATCAGAAAATGATAAAGTGACGAAATTCCAGGATCATCTATAAACTATAAACTATGGGAAAATGTTTCTTAAAAGTTCCAGAAACTTCTAAACTTTGCAAAAATCACGTCTTTGCTCTCTTCCTTCTCATTATCAGTAATTAATCTGATTAGAGACACTCCAACCGGTGCATCCTCTTTTTTCCCCCTGATAGTTCCAGTTTTCCCGATTTTTTCAGTTCCCCTTTTTTCTTCTTCATTGTATTCCTTTTTTTTCAAAATCTGCTATCTTGTGACCCATTTTTTTGAGCGTTTTTCAAACTTTTTTTCGATTCAAATTGCATTGATAGTCTCGGCAAACATGTACATCAAAAGCTTGTCACACTTTTCAAAACTTTATTTTTTCAACAAAAAGTTTTAGAGTTCTGAACTTTAGTTTTGGTATTTTGGACATATAACAAAGGAAGATAGAACATCTAGGTCAATTTTGAAATATCTCTGTACTTTTGGACAAACCTGCACACAGAGGAAAAAGCTCGTCCGTTAGATGTCCGTTGGATGTCCGTTGGATGCCAGTTGGCTTGGCTTGGCTTGGCTTGGCTTGGCTTGGCTTCTGTTTGTCTGCATGTGACTAGACCCATTGGATCGTATCAATGAAATTAAATATTGCTCATTCTATCCTATTTACTTAGATTTGTCACCCCCCGAATAGTTCAAAGAATAGTACCATCCGAAAAGTTCAAACCTCTAGCTCCTTTTGTCCCAACCCACCGCGCTGAACCCAAAAAGTATAAAACCATCTCAAAATTCTTAGCAAATGACACATCCTTTATAATGATCCATTCTCTCTACGACACATTTGCACATCGGCTCACCACCACCACCACTGTTTGTTTATTTGTACCACCTTCTCATTCTGCAACCTTTTTTATATGTTGGTTGCGCAGCGAAGTGCACAACAATGGACAATGAGTCATGCGATGGGTTGGCTCACCTATAAAAGTCCAGAAGATTTGTCATCGTGTATTTTTTTTCCGGGAGTTTGCGTCATTTTTGAACTACAGTAAGACAGTAGTTCAGGCTTGACCCCCAAATACCGTAAGACCCTTGAACGTCTAAAAAAGCTAACCACTCACTTTGAGCTCAATTATCTCGTTTCCTACAGAAGCTATGTAAAATTTGTCAACTGATAAAATGTTTATCATAATATCCGTAACATTTTATCAGTTGACAGATTGTTGATATCTTGTTTTTGTCTTGGAATTGAGCTCAAAATGCGAGCCGAGAAATAGGTAAAAATGGTAAACTTGGAAAACTGCAGACAAACATCTAGCTACTAGAAACCTAGGTACTTTACACCACCTAAATTTTATTTAATGTCAAAAATTGCGGTTTTTTTGATTTTTACCTCCCCCCACGTCATTTTAGGTCACTTCTTAAGACCCTTAAGTAGCTAGGCCGTCTACCAAAATTATTATTTTGTCAGACTACAGTAAACCTTCACCATCATCATACGTCACCTTTGAAGCTTACCAAAAAAAGGCAAATCATATTTTGCGCTTCAAAAGACTTTTTTCGATTTTTCAGAATCTATTCAACCCCTTTGCATCCCGCCCATCTCTTCTCCTTCTCCATGATGTTTGCCTTTAAATCGTCTTAACCGTTTTTCGAATCGTCGTCATTTTGTCATCATCACTTTCTACACATGTATTTCTCTCTTCAACTCCTTATTCCTTCGACACTTTTTAATCTGAAAATAATTGGTTCCTTTTCAAGAAGAAGACATGATTGGGGTGGGCCTTTATAAGCTCCGCCCCGTTTGTCCGTTTTTGTGATGTTAAATACACAACATCTGGACCGGAAAGAAATCATGTCTTCATTCTTGGCAAATATTTTTGTCATACCCCTTTCTTTTTTTGGTATTTTCATGTTTTCATAACTCTTCATGTGCCCCCTTAATAGACTAAGACCTTACTTAAAGACCTTATTTGTCTTAATAATGTTTTTTTTCAACAAGATTCAAGTTTCAGTCGCAAGCTCCCACCGCACACACACACAAATCCAAAATGATTGGAATGGTCAATGTTCAATGTGATACTCCTCTCGATTACTATGCCACCGCTCCAAATCTCCTCAGCCGTGACACATCGATGAGAAAGAGAGGGGATAGTGAGTCGGCAAATGGTGAGTTGAGGGATTCTTAATTTTCTAGGCTAGACGGGTTTGAGAAGCAGTTAACTGATCAAAAGAAAGATGTAGCTTAAAATTTTACAAATTTCTTCAGTGGACCGATTTTTCTAACTCTACTGGGAAGTGAGATAATTAAATCCAAAGCGGGGTCTACTTTAAGCAAATTTTTGATAGCTTTCACAGGAGTCGAGATAATTGAGCTCTAAGTTGACACTTTGGGCTTCTACTAGAGGGGATACGGTATTTAGAGTTGTAGGAAGGCACCCAAACTTTTTGTCTTTCGCGTCATTGAACGTTTTAAACAAAGATTAAAAAAAAACAAAAAGATTTGGAAAAAAAGTTCCAGTCAAAAAATGCTGAAAATGGCGAAAATCAGCCCCCCCCCCATTCCTACCTACGTACCTTGGGGGTATTCCGTGACTACATGAAAAAGTGTTTTTAGAAAAATGAGGGAACTTGACTTCCTGTAATTGCTCAAAAATAGGTCCCGTCTCAGGTTTTGGGTCTTACAGAATCTTTGGATTTGTACTAGAAAACTTCAAAACTTACCAATTTTCAGCCAGCCGCCACAACTCCACCAAACGTACGCCATCGTGGCGCCCATTGTTTACTGGGCAGTTGAAGAAGAAAAGTTCGAAACCAAAGTACCTAAAGGATGGACGAAAATTGACAGAGGAGGGAACTGATGAGCCGAACAAGCTCTGGGAAGAATTGTTCCTCCGCTCCTTCGCCCAGAAAATCGAACAAGAAATCTCGTCCCCATCCCCACTGGAAGCCCACAAAAACCTCAATTCTGAACTGTCAAAGCTCAAGATTCAAGGTTAGTTTCAAATTTCTGATTTAATTTTGAGCCGTAAAATTTTAGAAATTCCAGACAAATCATTCTACCGATCCACATACTCATTGGTTTCGCCAACGAGGATAGAGAACATTGATTTCGATGAATTGGAGAGAATCGAGAGACAAGAGGAGGCTGATGAGCCTGAACTTTCGTAAGTTTTTCTGAAAGTTTGAAACTTCTGAAATTATTTTTTTTAATTTTCAGAAAACCAAATCGCTCAAATTCGTCCACAGAACGACCCAGTTCTCAAATTTGCAGCGTCTTCCTGCCCTTTATCAAAACGATTAAGGGAAATAAGAAGAAGAATTCAATCACCTCATCAACAAATCCAATTAATAACAATTCTAAAAATTGACTTTTTGAAAACTTTTGAGTTTAAAGTCAAATGTTCCTTTAAAGGTGGTGTACGGTGAAATTTTTTATTGCATCAAAATGTGCAGAAATGCATGTAGATTGACATAAAAATAAAGAAAAAATTCAGAAAAAATTCCTTCATCGAGAAAAACGCATCGAAAAATACGCTGAAAGCCCTTAGGGACGAGGTTTTTTCTAGGCCGCCCGGTGAGTAAAAGCGCGCGAATTCAAACTTTCAAAATTTTTTCGCTCGTTTTCACTTTTTTTTCGGTTTTTTCAA